AAAGAAGCAGGATAATAAGTAAAATTTCTGCCCTGGACTTTAAGAGGGCAACTTTGTCCTCTTCAAAGATCTCCTTAGAAGTATTCTGTGGGCTAGGGCTCTAGAGGGTAGAGGGGCCCAAGAGAGCTGGTTAGAATTCAAACTCTACCTCCTCCAAGCTCAAGATAAGTGTATTCCCTTGGAAAAAAAATCAAGTAGAGGAGGCAGAACTGCATGGATAAGCAAGGAGCTCCTGAAAAATCTCAAATGGCAGAGGGAAATTTACAACATGTGGGAAAAGGGTCTGGTTTGGGAGGATTACAGAAATGCTGCCAGAGTATGCAGAGACTCAACAAGAAGGGGCAGGGGTCTCTTGGAATTTAGTCTGGCTTGGGAGGTGAAAGAAAACAAGGACTTCTTCAAATACATCAATGAGAATAGGAAGAGTAGGGCAAAAGGGACCCACTGCTAAATGAGGTGGGAGATGCAGTAATAGAAGACACAGAGATGGCAGAATTGCTGAATGCCTTCTTTGCTTCACTCTATACTCCTATGACCAGTCCTCAGGAATCCCAACCACTGGAAGTAAGGGAGCAAGACTTGGGGGAGGAAGACTCACCACTGGTCAGTGAGGACTGGGTTAGAGATTGCTTGGATGAAGTGAAAATGCACAAATCCATGGGCCCCAATGGGGTGCATCCACGTGTACTTAGAGGTGGCTGATGTTGCTGAGCTGCTCTCCATCGCTTTTGAAAAATCATGGAGAATGGGGGAGGTGCCTGAGGACTGGAAGAAAGCCAACCTCACTCCAGTCTTCAAAAGGGGCAAGAAGGAAAATCCAGGCAACTACAGACCAGTCAGCCTCACCTCCACCTCTGGAAAGGTGATGGAGCAGCTCATTCTGGAGGCCATCTCTAACCACATGAAAGTAAAGAAGGTTATCAACAGATTTACTAAGGGGAAATCTTGCTTGACTAATTTAATATCCTTCTGCAAAGACATGACCAAATGGATAGATGAAGGGAGAGCAGTGGATGTCATATACCTCGACTTCAGGAAGGCTTTTGACACTGTCTCCCCTAACATTCTCATAGGTAAACTCAAGAAATATGGGATAGACAACTGGACTATGAGGTGGATTGATAACTGGCTCAACAACAGAGTTCAGAGGGTCATGATCAGCAGCAGAGAGTCAAGCTGGAGGCCTGTGGCCAGTGGTGAACTCCAGGGATCACTACTGGGTCCAGTTTTGTTCAGTATCTTCACGAGCGACCTGGATGAGGGGAGCGAACGTTCCCTCAGCAAATTTGCTGATGGTGGTTGATGCACCTGGAGACTGGCTGCTAGAGAGCTAGGAGAAGGGAAAACTCATGAAGTTCAGTAAGGACAAGTGTAAGAGTTTTGCACCTGGGGAGGAATAAAACCAGGTTCCAGTACAGATTAGGGGTCATCCTGATGGAAAGCAGCTCCATGGAGAAAGACCCTGGAGTCCTAGTGGACAGTAAATTATCCAGGGGGCAGAAATGTGCCCTTGTGGCCAGGAGAGGAAATGGTGTTCTGCAGTGCATTAATAAATGCACTGGAGTCCTGTCCTGCAGGACATTAATAAATGTCCTGGAGTGCATGTCCAGCAGGTTTAGGGGGGTTCTCCTCCCCCTCTACTCGGCCCTGGTGAGACCACACCTGGAATACTGTATCCAGTTTGGGGCTCCACGATTCAAGAAGGGCAGGGATCTACTGGAGCAGGTCCAATGGAGAGCTACGAGGGTGATTAAGGGACTTGAACATCTCTCCTGTGAAGAAAGACTGAGAGAACTGGGACTGTTTAGCCTTGAGAAGGCTGAGAGGGGATCTTATGAATGTCTATAAATATCTGAGGAGTGGATGTCAAGAGGAGTGGGACAGGTTCTTTTCAGTGGTGCCCACTAACAGCAAAAGGAATGACAGGTATAAGCAAGAACATAGGAAGTTCCACTTCAATATGAGGAGAAACCTCTTTCCTGTGAGGGGTGACAGAGCACTGGAGCTACCCAGAGAAGTTGTGGAGTCTCCTCTGGAGACTTTCAAAACCCACCTGGATGCATTCCTCTGCAGCCTGTCCTGGATGACCCTGCTTTGGCAGGGGTGTCAGACTAGATGATCTCTCTTGAGGTCCCTTCCAACCTCTGACATTCTATGAGTCTAGGATTCTAAGGCATGAGCAGGTCACTGCAGCCCCAGCACCTCCCCACCAGCATCTCCCACTGCTCTCCTCTGCTGTTTCTTCAAATGGCAAGTTCCAGAGAACACAGCCCAATGTCACTGGTCACCCACGGGACACCCGTACAACCCAGCACAAGACAAGTGCGTGCAGAAAATCCCATTGTCAGAGGTTGCTGTTCACAAAGGAGACAGAGGAGTCCTGTAAAAAAATTAACTTTATTTTAATAAAGGGAGAATCCATGGGCATATCCCAGTAGGGTCTCTCCAAGTTGCTGGGGATGCAGCCCCCTTTTTATTCTAATTTCCTGGCCACATATGTCCTTCCTACATTGGCTGAAGTACTAGGAAAGTAGAGACTTCCTGATCCAGCTACTGCATATCGCCCTTAACATGTACCCCCATTCACATCATGCCTTCTAAGTCTCATTATCTTCATTTTATGCCTCCCCTGGGAGGAGAAGTTACTATGTGTGTCTATTAAGCATGCATACTGGTTCCTAACATTCAAAAATTTAGGCTACCCAAACTTCTGGAGGTAGGTAGCTGGTTTTGTTCAGTTTCAGTCAAGTTCTGAGGTTCTTCCTATCTCCTGTTTAGTTCTGATAGGTTCCCAGACTCTTCTTATCTTCTTGTTTGGTTCTTTTATATTCAAAGTGACCAATTTATCACTTTGGGGCACCAGTAGCTGCAATCACTTTGGGTCACCAGTAGCTGCAAACACAAACATTCCTTCCTCTCCACTCTACAAACTGACCCCTTATCATATGGAAAGGTATTGAAATACTGCTTATGGTAAAGAAACATTCCTTTCTCTTCTATCAAGGGCAAGAAAGGTGGCAAGATGTTAGACTTGATTACATGGGGAGTGTGGGGCTGCACTGCCGCTGGAGAAAGGGAGAGTGGGGCAAGGGGACAGGGGTACGGGGGTCGTTTCTGAACCGTGCCCCTTGTCCCGACAGGGCAGGGGAAGGGAGCGAGGCCAGGGCGGG